TCCGCCCTAATAGCCATAGCAATGGCCTCCAAGCTAATAGCGATGGCCTCCGCCTCAATAGCCATAGCAATGGCCTCCAAGCTAATAGCGATGGCTTCCGCCCTAATAGCTATAGCAATGGCCTCCAACCTAATAGCGAGGCCTCCGCCCTAATAGCTAAGCAATGTAGCGATGGCCTCCGCCCTAATAGCCATAGCAATGGCCTCCAAGCTAATGGCGATGGCCTCCGCCTCAATAGCCGTAGCAATGCCCTCCAACCTAATAGCGAGGCCTCCGCCCTAATAGCTAAGCAATGTTGTAGCGATGGCCTCCGCCCTAATAGCCATAGCAATGGCCTCCAAGCTAATAGCGAGGCCTCCGCCCTAATAGCTAAGCAATGTAGCGATGGCCTCCGCCCTAATAGCCATAGCAATGGCCTCCAAGCTAATAGCGATGGCCTCCGCCTCAATAGCCATAGCAATGGCCTCCAAGCTATTAGCGATGGCTTCCGCCCTAATAGCCATAGCAATGGCCTCCAACCTAATAGCGAGGCCTCCGTCCTAATAGCTAAGCAATGTAGCGATGGCCTCCGCCCTAATAGCCATAGCAATGGCCTCCAAGCTAATAGCGATGGCTTCCGCCCTAATAGCCATAGCAATGGCCTCCAAGCTAATAGCGAGGCCTCCGCCCTAATAGCTAAGCAATGTAGCGATGGCCTCCGCCCTAATAGCCATAGCAATGGCCTCCAACCTAATAACGATGGCTTCCGCCCTATAGCCATAGCAATGGCCTCCAACCCAATAGCGAGGGCTTCCGCCCTAATAGCCATAGCAATGGCCTCCAAGCTGATAGCGATGGCTTCCGCCCTAATAGCCATAGCAATGGCCTCCAAGCTAATAGCCATGGCTTCCGCCCTAATAGCCATAGCAATGGCCTCCAAGCTAATAGCGATGGCTTCCGCCCTAATAGCCATAGCAATGGCCTCCAAGCTAATAGCGATGGCTTCCGCCCTAATAGCCATAGCAATGGCCGCCAAGCTAATAGCGATGGCTTCCGCCCTAATAGCCATAGCAATGGCCTCCAAGCTAACAGCGATGGCTTCCGCCCTAATAGCCATAGCAATGGCCTCCAAGCTAATAGCGATGGCTTCCGCCCTAATAGCCATAGCAATGGCCTCCAAGCGAATAGCGATGGCTTCCGCCCTAGTACGCATATTGTTGTTCTTTATGTTGGCCTCGCGCTCCCAGGCGTTGCCACAGCAGAGGAGTTGGAAGAGCAGCTGGTGAATTTGCGCGGCACGATGCTACCCAGGCGCACCTCTTCGGACGTCACCGTCTTGCTAGTAACTGCCACGCTAGTAGTAACAGGTGCCACGCTACTAGTAACAAGTGCCACGCTAGTAGTAACAAGTGCATCGCTAGTAGTAACAAGAAGCTAGCGAACCAGAAAGATGCACTGTAAAAGGCTTGCCTTGAACGTATCTAAGCATATTAACACATTAGATGTGGCTTCAAGAAAGAAAACAGAAAGGACAAAAGGAAGGTGATTGGTGTTTGGGCATTTTTTGATAGGGGACCTGGTCATAGATGCTCGAGTCAATGTTGATTTTTTCATCTCTTTTTTATGGTCTCAGTGCTTCCTAAAGCCTTTGTTCGAGATCTGGCTTCGACTGCTCCCCAGTCTCCAGGATTCGGCGTTTAGCCAAAGACGCTTTGCGCGCTGAACAGCCTTGGGGCCCAGTTGAGCACCCTCGGTACATGGGTGCTGACGTGTCCCGTTCATCGATTTGCCTATGGGTACATGTCACAAAACTATTACAGAACTGATGTATATTAATCTATATATTACCATCTTACCATCCTCTTGCTGTTCTCGTCCTCGCGTTTGGAAGGGCTGCTTCTCGATTGGATGTTCTCACGGTGGCAACAGTTGATGAAAGAACCCTTTCCTTTTCTTTTACCTCCTTTCCCTTTTTTCCCCAGATAGCGAGAGCTATTGGGGTTCTTACTTCAAGTATAGGGAGAGCCGGGAGAGCTGCATGTGTGCGCTTGGGTGCTGGTTGCCGCTGCTGTGCACTTGGGAGCTTGGGTGCTTGTGCCGCTGCTGTGTGCGCTTGCTATGAAACGCGAGCGAGGAAGCCGCGACAGCTTGAATGCAATGATTCCAATGCTATCTGGGGTCTATGCTGGCGTAATCCAAAATCTGTTTCTTTCTGTTTTGTTTTTGTAAAAGCCCTGCTCAGGAAGCGCGGTGGTCATTTGAAGCCCCGCTCTTCACGCGCCTGATGGAGGCCCTGTGCACCTTGGTGTGCGGGGTCATCTTTCGTTCCCCAGATATGAGGGGACTGGAACAAAACAAGCGGGCTTTGTATATAATATAATATTGTGCATGCACAACGTGCTTTTAGTTACTTTCTGGGGACCATTTCTTTCTAGAGCGATGTCCTCGAACCTATATACTGGCCTAGAAGGCATCCGGCTTGGCTTTGAGCCTTTCCAGACTGCGAGCCTGTAGCCGCAGTACAAGCTTGCAGACACGATTGAAGACGAACCGTTTGATAAGTAGCAAAGATGATACGTGTATTTTTGTGAGACTGTTGCCTTTACCGACCATCCCGACTTCCGTGATCCTTGATAAAAGACCCTTCTCGGCCCAGACTTGCTCATGCATTTAAGTCATTCAGGCCCGGGCATAGGCTCTCCTTGTCACTGGTACATGTTGAGACCTGTTGCCTATGCTGACTACCATTGACTGCCTAATCAGGTCTTCGTGTTCATATTCAGTCAAACTTTATGTGCAGTCAGCATGAGTTATCAAGAACATGGTGAATGTGTAAGCTTTAGCCGCTAGCAAGGCCAAGATCTACAAAAAACCGTGGAAGGTTGTGACTCAGGTGACAGGTGATTACAAGTGATTGGTGAGTGGCAAAGGCACCAAATGACTATGTGACTATGTGAAAAAATTGCTTGGTTGAACTGCTGACTATGTTAAAACATGATTAGAAGGCTTTGAGACATTGATCAGTTAATCCTTGTTGTTACAATTGAAAGTGTAAGGATGGGAAAAAAGCATTGGAAGAGCGAGTCTAAAATAAGGTGAATCAAACTCAACTCCATCGCTTTGCCCAAGCGACTTCCGTCGCTTGCAACATGCTTTATCGAGAATAGATCGAAGCCAATAAGTCTCATTGCTAATTACACGAACTGCTTGCTCTCTGATGCTTTCTGCAAAAGGCTGCATGGCCCACTTTGTCAACATGTTTTCTATCTCTACTAGTAACAAAGGGCATCGCTACTAGGACCAATCATGTCTAGAAACAATGGTCTCCTTCAGTGCTTTGGGAATTGACCTCGCTATGTTTTGACCTTCATTCGTGGTGTTTCAATGAAGATGGACGGGGACTGTGCGACTAGAGTACATGGAATCAAAGACACGAGGAGCTTGGGTGGGAAAGAAAGTGGATCATGACGACGGTCAATGGAGATATAGCCCGAGGGAGAGAATCCAATGGAGAGAAGCTCCCAAGAAAACAGCGGTTGTGATAGCCCCAAACATGTGTTTGAAAATTTAGTTTAATTCTAATTTAATTTAATGCTAATTTGTTACTACTAGTAAGGCACTTGTTCCTAGAAGCTTCTTGTTACTAGGAAGAGCCCCAAACAAACGAAGATGCTTCGATTTGCAGGGGGGCATCAAGGGAGTCTCGGTTTCTTGACACTGTCGACACTGCCTGCCACAGCGAGAGGCTGATGTGGAAGCCGAAAGCAGAGTGGACGAAAATGAGTTCCAAATGGAAACCAGTGTGCCAATGAACGATTGTAACATTTAGCTATCCTAGTTGGTCAACACATGCAGAAGCATGCCTTTGGAAGGGAATGGTCTGAGAATCATTTGCCATTTGCATGCTTTGCTTGAGACACAGTCTAAAACCATTTCAGCAAGCTGTTGCATTGGCAGGCTTTACCAGTCTTCATATTTGGCTTCACCTGCCAACAGAACATTTTTTCTGTTTGCAATGAGGCCAGGGTGATGTTGTGAAAGTGGAAGTCCAGCGCATTTCGGGCAGGTCATTCATGTTCCATTGGCATCCATCCATGAATCCAGCAAACGAAGAATGAACCCTTCAATAGCTTTCTTGTTCCTAGTAGTAAGGCACTTGTTACTAGAAGCGATGCACTTGTTACTAGTAGCTTCTTGTTACTACTAGTAAGGCACTTGTTACTACTAGCGTGGCACTTGTTACTAGTAGCATCCCAGGGGTTTGACTCAGGTTGGGATTCGTGATTGGTGGCACGACATGAATTGAACAGCAACCGCAGAGGCTAGTTTGCGAATTAGGTGCACAGACATGCCTTCACACCTTTGTTTTCTCCTCGTGTTGAGAAAGTAACACCTCAGGTGCGCAACACCACCCCCCAGCGCATGAATGGCATCATCACTGGGGCAGTCGGACGGCCCAATTTGGCGAATTTCGTTCTTGTTACAAGAAGCTACTAGGGGCTCCTGGCGCTACTAGGAGCAAGGACGCTACTAGGGGCTCCTGGTTTTAGTACTAGGAGCAAGGACGCTACTAGGGCCTCCTGGCGCTACTAGGAGCAAGGACGCTACTAGGGGCTCCTGGCGCTACTAGGAGCAAGGACGCTACTAGGGGCTCCTGGCGCTACTAGGAGCAAGGACGCTACTAGGGGCTCCTGGCATCGCTTCTAGGAGCAAGGACGCTACTAGGGGCTCCTGGCGCTACTAGGAGCAAGGACGCTACTAGGGGCTTCTGGCATCGCTACTAGGAGCAAGGACGCTACTAGGGGCTTCTGGCATCGCTTCTAGGAGCAAGGACGCTACTAGGGGCTCCCGGCTTTGCTACTAGGAACAAGAAGCTACTAGTAATGCCCTTGTTGCTAGTAGCGATGCCAAAATGAGCAGAGAGCAGAGAGCTAGATGCAGCTAGTGGATCTAGTAGTAAGAGGCCAGCAACTTGTAGCTTGTAGTAAGGCAAGGAGCGAGTAAGAAATTACTAGGCTTGGCAAACACAAGGGCGGGTCAAGCATGGTCAAGCTTTCTTGAAGAACCCATCGATTTGGTTTCTAGAAATCTAGGGAACACAACCTTTGCAAAACATGTTTTCCTTTCTTTTTGTCCTTCCTTTCAACTTGTTTCCTTCCGTTTTCACGAGACTCTCAAAGAGGCTCCTAGTAGCAAGGACGCTATTAGGTGGAGGCCATCGCAAGTAGGTTGAAGGGCATCGCGACTAGTAACAAGAAGCTACTAGTAACAAGTGCCTTACTAGTAGTAACAAATTAGAACTAAATTAAATTGAATCAGAATTAACAAAGGGCATTTCCTATGAGCAAAGGACGCTACTCGACTCGAGCGCTGAGTACTGTATCAGCTTTGTGGCTTTGAGCTCTGCGGCGATCTTTGGATACCTGACCTTTGGGCCTCAGTTGAAATCGGATGTGCTCAAGGACTGAAAGAGAGGAACAAGAGGACGCTACTAGGGGCTCCTGGCCATACTAAAGGACGCTACTAGGGGCTTTTTGGCCTTACTACTAGGAGGCTACTAGGACATACAATGCCTATAAGGAACAGAAAAGAAACGCGTACCAAATTTGGCGAGGACTACCCTCAGAACGCGGTGGTGGCATTCACATCGCTCCTCTACTCTATGTTGGCAGTCTTCTCCTACCCGTTGCAGGCATCAACAAGCACAAGTCTTACAAGTCCATAGCTCCACCATGCACAAGTCTAAGAGTGGGCAGCTTGGCTACGTTGGTCCACTTTTCACGAAGGCTCTAAAGTTGGCCACCACAACTGGCAATCTCCGATCTCCTTGCCAATCTCCTTGAAAAACATCCCCTTACTACTAGGAGCAAGAACTACTAGGGGCTCCTGGCATCGCTACTAGGAGCAAGGACGCTACTAGGACGAAGTCTCGAAGATATGTAGAATCTGTAATGCTTGCGCAGGTTAGAGATTGGTCACAGATCGCAACGACCAGAGAAAGAGAGGAAAAAGAAAACGTCTAAAGGACAAAGAAGGATTGGAGTAAGAAAGATAAGGAGAAAACAGGAACATGTTTTTTGGTGGTTAGAGGCCATCGCTATCAGGTTGGAGGCAATGATTGGAAACAATCATTCTTCAGTATATTTTAATGGTTTCTTCAAGTCTTCTCCGTTTTCCTTCACCGCAGATCCATCCCTCCCGCGCCTCCGCGCTGGCCCTCATGAACCTGGTCAGACCAAGTGAAGGCCAGGGCCGCAGATGTGAAAACGGTCTACTACGCTACTCTACTAGGAGCAAGGACGCTACTAGGGGCCCCTGGCCTTACTACGACGCTACTAGGGGCTCCTGGCCTTACTATTAGGAGCAAGGACGCTACTAGGGGCTCCTGGCCTTAATAGTTGGAGCAAGGACGCTACTAGGGGCTCCTGGCCTTACTACTACACTACTAGGGGCTCCTGCTCTATGCTACTAGGGGCTCCTGGCCTTACTACTACACTACTAGGGGCTCCTGCTCTATGCTACTAGGGGCTCCTGGCCTTAGTACTAAGAGCAAGGACGCTACTAGGGGCTCTTGGCCTCACTACCAGGAGCAAGGATGCTACTCTACTAAGGGCTCCTAGATGGACCAGCTTTAAATCCTAGGCCTAGCTCCGGGGGATTTTGGAAATAGCTTGAGAGGGTTACCATTGGGCTTTGGCCGAGACTCGAGACCATACCTACTTCAGGACCCTGGAAACCCCTAATCCTCCCTGTGGGATGGAGAATTAATTGCGATCTTCTTTCCAAGTCAATGCGGGCTTCGATCACTCTATCCGGCTTGGATGGGTCCCATGTTAGAAATTGCTCTAGGGACCTTATATGTAGCTTCACCATCTCACAGACAAAGAGGCTTATGCCACCCCCAAAGTAAGCTCCTAGCTACTCAAGCTACCAGTAACTGGACACAGCTCATAGACTCTTAACAAGTGTAATGTCAGGCGTCTCAGTCGTCGCTCAGGCGCTCTCTCTCTCTCTCTGTTTTGCATCGGGCTCATTGTTTTTTCATCTTTCTTTCTTTGCTGTATTATTTTACTTCTCTTACCTCTTTGTTCTTTTTCTTTGGGCCTTCAGACATTTTTCTATCTTTGCTTGAGAGGGAGTGCTTTGAGTCAAGAGGCGCGCATCGTTGGGCGGCGGTGACACTGCTGGAGCTGGTTGGCTCATTGCTCATCGCCATCACGGCCGGGCCCCAAGAACAGGACACTCAACTCTTTACACTTGATGAAAGTGAGCGACTCCAAGGCCCAAGAATCTTTTCTTGTCAAAGAGCGTGTTCTGATTAGAGATTCCACGGCCCAACTCATTGGGAAATGACATGCCTTGTGAACACATCGATTCAAACGTGGCAAGGTGTTTCAGCATTATCTTAAAAACTTGGAAACACAACGCGCAGACCTGTCATCGACACCTCCGGACCTTCGAGTGAGGGCATGACTCCAAAGCGAAACAATGCTTTGGCGCATGGGCAAACAGAACACAGGCAGAGGGTGGTGGACCGACCTTGGTTTAGGTTTTGGGTAGGCGCCCCGATCCAACCACATTGGTAGCGGAGCCTATTGGCTCGGAGCCATAAAGCCATGGGTTCGGAGGCTAGACAAGGATGCGATTTGGACTCTTCTTCCACATCAAAGTATATAGCGAAGGTGAGATTCCTAGATGGTAGTCGCAAGGGAGATCGGCCGACGGCTTGCGATGTTGTGCAAAGGGACTGCCAAGGGCCAAGAGGTCAGAAGCATCCAGCCTGACCAGTTGACCAATCCAGACTTAGGAGTCGAACGCTTTCCGAACGTTGTTCGACAAGGCGATATACCGGACAACGCAGAAGAACGATGAGAGTACACAATCGTTTGTGAACAGGTTGGACGTCGCCTTTGAAGAGGTTGGACCAGACACGACATTGAAGTCGGTGATTGCCTTCCTGCTCCTCAAGCAGTCAGGAGGACAAGAAGGTTTTCACCATGACAAATGGAGCCTTCGGGAAGTCAGCCGTATCCAATGCTACAAACTTGTCAACGAGCGTGCTGGCAGGCCAGATGGGGGAACGCAAGAAGGTGTAACCCCCGAATTTTGTAAGAGCCATCAGAGACAGAGCAATCAGACCAATCTTACATGGACCAGTTTTTTTGCAGCTCAGTCTGAAGAGGATGACCTTTCATCTGAACAGCTGGAGCAGTTGGCGAAATCTACGCAGATGCATTGAGAGTACAAGGCTTTGAGAATGAGTTGACAGAGCTCTTTCACGAAGTCCAGCTCTTCTACCAGCAAGCTCGAAACCCGATCATCGAGTGAAAGAGGAACAGGGGTTCTGGCCGCTGAGAACTCCCTGGAGTGGAAAATATGGAAAGGGGTTCGGAGGAAGACGAACTGCTGAATCGGTTTGTCAGGATTCATTGCAAGCGTTGCGCCGAGTTGGGTCATTGGAAAGCAGGTTGCGTGACCACAGAAGCTCAAGGAGCCTCAAGCACACGTGGCTTCAGCAACACAAGAACATTTTGAGACCGACTTCACAGAGCAGGGGTTGATTGAAGAAGATTGGCGCAGATGCAGAGGTTGGGGTGCAATTTGTCGAAAAGCCAGAAGAGAATACGCCGTTTAAGACTAAGCCCAATCACAGGGGTTTGAGCTGATCGAAGCCGGTTTTTCGGAAGCAGTAGGGCCAAACCAAAAGGTTCTTTTCGAACCGCGCATCATTCCACTGCAAGCGAGAAAGCCATCTTCGACAACAAAGATTCTCGCAGGAATTTACTGATGTGGCAAGTGAACATCTACGCCAATCATGAGGGCTCAGTTGAAGGAGCCGAAAGACTTCAACGATGTAATTTCACTAGATGGATTCGAGTGGAAAAGCAAAAATGGAAGAAAGTGTTGTGTCTGAAGCCACGCACTTTCATTTGGGGAAAAGATGCAGTAGGGGCACTGAAGAGACTGAAAGACTAGTTACTGAAAGATGGGATGCATTGGGCAGGCCCTCGTTCATGATCTTGCCGAGAGAGTTTGTGGGCCAGCGACGCAGAGCGGAATTCAATCTGTGACCTCAGCAGCTCCTTGGCAGAAATAGGATGGAACCCTGCGGCAGGACTATAAAAGAGACGTGAAGTAGAATCGACTATCGTGCTCCGATAGAAACTTGCAAAGATTTCGACAGGCACTGGAAATCGCATACCGAGCTTCATTATAAAAATCCTCGCAGAAAACCGCAAAGAAATAGTTTGATCAGGCCAAGCGAAAATCGTCGGTTGAAGCGCTGGATTGAGACCAACACTGTTGAGATGATGATATCACACAAACAGTCAGCTCTCCAGAACAGGCTGGACTTTACCCGGTCGACGTCAAAATAGCATTTTTGAGAGGAAGATCTGACGCAAGGGAGCTAGCCACTCATCTCGTGTTTGAATTCCAGGAGCTGCTCGAGCTCTGAAAAGCGCGTGTTTTGTTGCTAAAGGGGAACCCTTATGCAGCACCTTCACGGCCAGGCATGATGGCGAAGGTCCGAAGCTAAGTCAAGCGACTTGGCAGAAGCCAACAAAATATTGAGAGCAAGGAAAGAGACTTGGAACATGCAACCTATTCCCATGCATCATGACCTTTGCAAGTTTTGGAGACGCGAGTTTTGCGTCAGAGTCTCTGATGAAGGCGCAGCAGGGACTGTTCGTCGCAGTCGCAGTGTGCGCAAAGGAACTTGGAGAGACCCTTCGCCGACTTGTTCGGCCCACTTCAATTGCAGAGCCGTACGCCGTGTCTTCATCCCTTGGTTATAACCAACGTGGAGAATCAAGGATCCAGATCTCTAATTACTTAAAACCGGCCCCGCAAGCCTATACGACCTGGCGAACAAGATGGCGACCCCAAATTGCCAGGAGTGGAGAATAATTGAGGTGACGTTGATTAAGCAACAGTCTTCCGAAACTATTCCGACACTACGGAATGCCGATGGATCTCAACGGCAATCATGCTGGCAGATTGTTTGACAAAATGATTGCCTCATCTCATTCTTGCGCAGAGTATCAGTGTTGGGAAAATTCAGAATTTACGATGACAGCAGTGCCTAGAAAGAGAACCCAAACCGCAAGTTCAGCGCCCGATGGATCGAAGCTTTGAATCAGACTCAATCGAAAAAGAAAACAGAGGCAATGTGAACTTGACCTGTCTTCGACACCTCCGGACCTTCGAGCGAGGGCGTGACACCAAAGCGAAACAATGCTTTGGCACATGGCCAAGCAGAACACAGGCAGAGGGCACTTGGAAACGATATGCTAGCGTGGGAAGGCGACCTGGTGGGCACCCCATATAGATTAGGTTTCTTGGGCGAGGATGCTGTCATTGTGGTTGGAGGGTCCAACCGCATATACATGTGTATGTATATATATATACATATGCCTATATATGCTTATATGTACAATGCATATTTTGACTCTCCTTTTGTACACCTGTCCTTTAGTTTCTATATTTCCAGTTCGCGCGCCACGGTCTCTTGGAGTGAGGTCATGGACCTGGGGAAGATCTTAGGAGTCGTTGGGGCCACCGGATCCACCATGGTCTCGTGGGAATCTCAGTGTCTTGATGTATCATGTCGTGACCTCCAACCTAATAACAGAAGGAACCTACTAGTGATGGGCTCCAACCTAGAAGCGTCGTGTCAATATCAGTGCATTCCTCGCCTCATCTTCACAGTTTTTGCAGTCAATTGGCAGGTATATTCTGCCAGGAATTGTCTATGTCCAGGCCCGATAATATGACTTGATGCCTCACGTCCTTTCGAGACATGTCGTATGACCAGTAGCGTCCTTGCTCCTAGTAACGATGCCCTTTGTTCCTAGTAGTTTCTTGTTCCTAGTAGTAAGGCCAGGAGCGCCCCTACTAGCGTCCTGTCGTATTTTCGCGTCCAGACCTTTCGAGATTTTCACTTGCGGCGCTCCTTGGCACTTGGCCAGTTGATCTTAGGCGAGGGGTTCTACTCCAAGCTGGTCGGAGTCTGTTTTGAAAGTCTTCCACTGAAACAAGTCAGGTTGTTTTTCACCCGTGAGGTTTCTCAATTGTTTGGAACACTTGCAACAATTTCTTGCCTTTGAAGGGCTTTCCGTGTCATCGTATGAGGGTAGTTGAGGAATTGCCCGCTATGTTCCTTGATCTTTGCACACTTGCGTTTTTCTTTCAAACTGACTTTCGCACAGGCTGTATCATCATGCCTGTGTGTTTGGTGCTCCTTTTCCTCTAAGTGGAATGAGAGCCAGCATGGCAAGATGCAATCATTTAAAAAAAGCCCGCAGTCGAATTCGATGTCCCTCATCAAGATTATTTGGCCCACTAGATAGATCCCAAGGCATGCTCATTGATTGGCTGAGGCATTGGAGTAGTCCATTCAGCATTCTTCCTTCACCTATCACCTAACCTAGAAGAGCAAACGATGCTATACAATGGCACATGTGTTGCATGGACGTGCGCTTTAGAATGGAACATACATGGGCTTGTGGATCCAAGCTTATACCTTGTCTTGCACATGTTACAGCCGCAGCTGTTGGATTTAGAGACAGTTGGACAGAATTGGAATCTCATCTTGTCACAACTCATGTCGTCATGCAGCATCGAATCATGTTGCCCTCATTCAGCTGACACACCCACAGAATGTTCTTGGCCCAACCACCACTCACTAAGGAGTCCTTTTCTTGAAACAACATCCCCACTTCTCAGCCAAATTCTACCTTGAATATTGGAAGCTGAAGGTAGTGTACCTTTGGCACAAGAAATACACCGTCCAAGGAGGTACACAGTGACAGGATCAGAAAATCTAACTTGCAACAACTCTAGGCTTTTCACTTCATTACTAGTAACAAGAAGCTACTAGTAACAAGGGCATCGCTACTAGTAACAAAGGGCATTACTACTAGGAGCATTCTTGCTATTAGTAATAAGGAGTAACAAGAAGCTACAACAGCTCTAGGCTTTTCACCTGTTTTCACCGCCCTCCCTACAGAAAAAGGGAGAGCTGGAGGCTTGCTATGATGCATAGTTCATGCAATGACTCGCATTGCACACAATCCTCTTCTGACACTAATTACCAGCATTGGTTTTGGCTTGGCATCCGCTGCTCCTCGAGAAACAGCTAGTGTTTTTGCATGAATTGTTGAAACCGCCTGCCCTTTTGAATTCAAAGTTGGCAAGGATCCCAAAACAGATAATAGCCATCCAGTACACACTTTCAGTACACAAATCTGTGTCTTGAGTATATCTGTGATTTGGCTCAGGGATGGTCCACACTGGCCGCGTTCTGCCTCGGCCAAGGTGTTGCACCAAACAGATTGAACAGATTCCTCAAAGGTCTTGAGGGAAGTTCACTGAAAATTATCGCTTTTAGGTTGGAGGCCATCCCTTGTAGGTTGGAGGCCATCGCTTTTATATTCACTGTTATGATATATAAATCAGTAATTAATTCATGTTCTGGAAATTGAATCATTGAACACCATTCTGAGCACTCCAAGTGTCATTCACGTCTGAAAGTCAACCTTTTTGAAGCGGAGCCTTTTCAGGGCCTTGTCAAATACCTACTTGGAGCAAGATAGAGGCCTGGAGAGTCAGAGATCCTGTGGAAAGGTTTTAGACGAGAAGACATGAAGCTTCTTGTTACTACTAGTAAGGCACTTATTACTACTAGTAAGGCACTTGTTACTAGAAGCTTCTTGTTGCTACTAGTAAGGAAACATATACCCAAAACACGATGAAAGGACATGGTTTACATGGATTATACGCTCCACTAGTGCATGGGGAGGCAGTTGAGTGCATGCTTTGGACGTCTCTTTCTCGTGCCAGATTTGGTTTCCCGGCCAGCCAGCAAGGCGTGAACCATCCGAGGTTGTGAGGAAACACATGTTTTCACAAACACCTTGCTGTCACATGTCACCTTGGTGTGTTTGATATGTTTAACTGTCTTTTGTGTTTGTATGTACAGCCCATATATACTCCGCTATAGGTACTGCAGACACGTGACTCTTGACGTGTTTTGGCTCAAGGGAAAAAGGCGTTCCGAAACGTCGAAACTTTATTTTCATGGTAGCGCGTGAGCCCGGTGAAAGCGAAAGGGACCGAGTTTTGCGCCTAAAAGAGGAAAGACACAGTAAAGTAGAAAGCTCCGAAGAAGAGGAGCTGGGGTCCTCGGGAGCGGCAGATCCTGCCGCCCCGAGCGGAGTAGGAGGAGAGAGAAAAGAAAGAGAGGAGGAGAAGAAAGAGCCTGATTCAGCCGCAAACATTGCTCCAGCGGTTGAGAAGACCGCAGAAACAACCTCAGCGGTCGAGAAGACCGTAGAAACAAAGGAGGAGAAGGAAAATACAGAAGGAGCAGAAGGGTCAGAAGAGGAAGAAGAGTCTGAACAAGACCTGACAGGTGAGCCAGGGACTGGAGCGGCTAGTTCAGCCGCACAGTCATCATCTGGCCGAACCATCGCCGATTTCGTCACCTCCGCAGAAGGGATCACAACGGGTTGGGAAGTTCGTGGTACTCAAACCAAGTATACCCCAGCCAAGATCGATCCCAAAGCACCTTGGCATCCAGAACCACAGTCCGGATTCCGACATCGAAGCCAAACTTCGCTTCAGTATCGGAAGCTCAAGGACTTGGTGAGGTTGCAAAAGAAGCAGGGTGTCATTACAGAAGAACTGCAGGAGAGGATCAAAGAGTTTGGCAAAGAGCGCCCCAAGGAGGAGATCAGGTTAGAGCGGAAAGAACAAAGAATCCGCAATAAAGAGAAGCGCGAGGAGAGCGCAAAGCGAAAGGCTCCGAAGACGAGCGAAGCGGCTGATACAGCCGAAGAGAAAGAAGAGGAGGAGGAGAGTCCATCGGAAGAAGAGACTTCCGTGAGACTGAAGGAGAGGCCACCACCGGCTCGCCAGATCGGCCGCGATCCGGTGGAGTTAACCTCCGCAGGAGCCCGGGCCGCATCAGAGGCCCCTGAGAGCCCAGGGTCAGCCTCCGACCTGTCCCAAGGGTGAAAGCCCTTGGACCGGCCGGAGATCGGACGAATCGTCCGTAGCTGAAAAGGTGCGAGAGCAGCGCCAGCAGGGTTGAGAGTAGGGAGCCATGGAACAACAGATCCAACAGCTGACTGATATGGTATTGCAACTCCAACAGAACCAAACGAGGTTGGAGCAAGAGAACCAAGTGTTGAGGGAGTCTCAAGGTGGGGTATCAATGTTGGCTTCAGCCGTAGGAGAACTGGCTAAGAGCCTTGAGAAGAAGGAAGATAGGCGAAAGTCCCAAATCCTTATGGACACCAAAGGCTTGGGCCGCCCTGAGAGTTTTGGGAATGTTGAAGGGGATTTCCGAAAATGGGCCAGGAGCATCGACAACCTGTTCATAACTACCTTTGGGAGAGAGTTCATTGAAATCCTAGAGTACATTCTGGAACAGGAAGACGCGATTGAAATTAGCGCTGTGGAATCCGCGTTTGGGGCTGGCACCATAGCAGCCATTGAAGATCTTGAGGATAAGGCGGATCAAATCCATCGCGTCCTCCTGACCCTGACCTCAGGTGAAACAGAAGATTTGATGGTAGGAGCTTCAAATGGATTTGAAGCGTATCGGCGAGTTCACCGCCGTTGGGATCCCCGAACCTCGGGACGAAAACGCAATATCCTTCGAGCAATTCTCCAACCTGAACGAGTCAAGACGTGGGCCGCGGTGAGGCCAGCAATCGAACAGCTCGAAGAGCTCATCAGGCGGTACGAGTCCCGGAGGAGTGCCGCAGGAATAAGGGAGACTCTATCGGACGACGTCAAGTCCGCTTCATTGGAGATGCTGGTACCCCCAGATTTGGAGAAACATCTTTTGTTGAACAAGAGTAGATTGACAACCTATTCATTGATCAAACAGGAGATTGAACTTGTCATCGAATCATCCCTCACATCGAAATCATCTGTTCCAAAACCAGGTTCATCAAGTTCGAGTTATCAAGGACCTCAACCCATGGACGTCGATTCGATCGGACAATGGATCGCAAGCCTGGTCAAAGGAAAAGGTAAAGGAAAAGGTAAACAGGTCAAAGGAGATGGAAAGAAAGGCTCAAGCAAGGGTTCAAGTAAAGGCTCAAGTACGGCTCAAGATATCACCTGCTACAATTGCGGTAAGAAAGGACGCCGAGCGGCCGATTGCTGGAGCAAGAAACGGCCGGATGGAAAAGGCGATAAGTGGTCAGGTTCAGGCAAAGGAAACACGAGTGGAAAAGGTGGCAAAGGCAATAAAGGCAAAGGTGGAAAAGGCGGCAAAGGCAAAGCCGCAGGAAGTATGGAAGAGATGGACGATCCGGATGATGGCAATGAGCCAGCTCCGGAAGCAGATGTCGGAATGCTCATGGCAGACTTGAGTGGAGTTGGAATAGCGGATGCTGCATCCGCCGAAGAATGGATGAAGTTTAACCTGGACACTGGAGCAGCCCAGACAGCCATCCCGAATGGCTGGGAAGACCGAGTGGTTGTCAGCGAGGGCAACGGAGTTGTTTTCAAGACTGCATCAGGAGAGTTGGTGCCCAGTCAGGGCATTGGAACCTTTGAGGGGTTCGACGAGAGTGGCAACAAATGCCGAGTGAAAGGGTCAATGGCCGATGTTCACAAGCCATTGATTTCAGCATCCAAATGCTTAGGCTTTGGAAGGATTGCAGTTCTTGATGCGAATGGCGGAAGGTTGATTCCGCAAGGGTCCAAAGTTGGAAAGGCTGTCCAGGCGATCCTGGAGAAAGCGAACGCTGCAGAGCAGCGGAGCTGGATCCCTGTATATCAGGAACAGGGAGTGTACAATTTCTACTTGAGAAAGCCAGGGTATAAACCGGCCAAGGAATGCTGTGGCATCGCGGAGTTGAACGCCACAGGAGAAAGAGGAGATGCCTCTATGGATTCAGGCCGACCTGGTCCAGAGGGGCGAGAAGAGGATGATGAGTTGGAATTAGTTGATGAGGTTGAGAAACCCATCCAGATAAGAGCACCGGAGGACCCAACTCCGGCTGAGATCGAAGAGCACGAGGCGGCAGGCCATGTGCAGTATCGAAGTTGGTGCCGGCATTGCATTGCTGGACGGGCTGTGGGACAGCCGCATCGGACAAGGTCCGAGGAACAGAAGGCCAAGAGCCTTGCGCCCACAGTGGCAATGGACTACACGTTCATGTCACGGGGCGGTGTGGAGGACGAGCGAGTGAAGCCGATCCTCGTAGTGAAGGATGAGAGGACACAGTCCTT